TTGGTGTTGTTTAGTAGCTGGCTTCCCTCTAGTCTTACACTGCTAAATTAGGGACGACTAGAACAGATAGCCCTCGTGTAGCTTTGCGCAAAATTCAAAAACAAAACAAAAAAACCGTAAAATTCTGAGTCGGAAAAATTATGAAAATAAAATAGAAGTGTAGCTTCACTTGAATGTTTCTTAAATACACATTTCTGTTCTTAGGAAACATCTGTTCTTTATCTTGAGTTATTTAATGGGGAAAAAAATTGGATAACGGGACGATTATACGCTAGAAACAAAAACCAGTGAAACTAACTTGTTCCCGATATTTCTATGTACAAAAAATAATTTATTTTGTTAAGCACTTATCGTATTCTAAACGTAACAGAATGTTTTACTGTTACTAACTGAAAAATAACCATATTTTAAAAGTAAATGTTAATTTCATAATGTGAGTGAGAGATGTATTTGTTAATACACAAAAATGGAGTTTATTTTTCTTCGATTTTTTTTTATTTTACTTAATTCACAAGTTTTTGTTTTTTACTTAATTTACAAGTTTTTTTACTTAATTCACAAGTTTTTTACTAAATTCACAAGTTTTTTGTTTGTTTTTTACTTAATTTACAAGTTTTTTTTACTTAATTCACAAGTTTTATGTTTGTTTTTTACTTAATTTACAAGTTTTTTTTACTTAATTCACAAGTTTTTTTGTTTTTTTTTTTTGGTATGTGATCATTTTCTACGACTAGTTTATCCGTAAGGGTAAGTAACAATATTAATAATGTAATAAGGTATGGTTATTCTATTTTATGTGTGCTTTAGAAATAATAAAAAATATATTTTTGTAGGTTTATTTTATTTCAAGCAGTTTTAATACCTTCTTGTTTCATGTAATCATACAGTGATATAACAGCCAGGTATATATCAATTACCAGATTATCCCTAGTTTATTTATAACAACCGTGTGATATGAATAGTTGGAATATTAAAACTATTAGCAATTCACTGAATTTTATGTAGTCAAATCAAAGTTTTATGTAGAAAAATCTTAGTCATTAGTTAAATTTTGAATAGTCAAATCTTAGTCATTAGTTAAATTTTGTATAGTCTAATTTTTGATCATTAGTTAAGTTTCATATAGTCAAATCTTAGTCATTAGTTAAATTTTGAATAGTCATATCTTAGTCATTAGTTAAATTTTGAAAAGTCAAATCTTAGTCATTAGTTAAATTTGGAATAATCAAATCTTAGTCATTAGTTAAATTTTAATAGTCAAATCTTAGTCATTAGTTAAATTTGGAATAGTCAAATCTTAGTCATTAGTTAAATTTTAATAGTCAGATATTAGTCATTAGTTAAATTTTAATAGTCAAATCTTAGTCATTAGTTAAATTTTAATAGTCAAATCTTAGTCATTAGTTAAATTTTAATAGTCAAATCTTAGTCATTAGTTAAATTTTGTATAGTCTAACT